AAAAAAAAAAAAAAACTTAATATCTGATTTGATTATTTCCCTTTAGATGAAATTTATATAGCAATAGCTATAAATGTAAGATACCAGTTAGGTCAAATCATTAACGTATAAAAATTACTATTCTCTTAATTTTCATTTAGTCTTAAGGCATTTTTAATCCTTAAACATTTTCTTTTATTTTAAACTATCAGAATACAACAGCAGTCAAATGTTTTCTGATATTTTGACTATTTTCAAACTACACATGCATATTTTTGTAAAATAAAGTTAAAAAAAAGTTAAATGTACTCTCTTTACTAATTCATAAGCAAACTTGTCTTTGTTCTTAAGAAAAAAGAAGAGAGAAATGTGATACATCTACATTATACAGCCTGGCCGGATAAAGGTGTTCCCCAGGAGGTGACAAGTCTTGTAGAGTTCAGACAGAGGGTGAAGTCAGTTCCTGTTACATTAGGAGGTCCGGTTATAGCCCACTGCAGGTATCATAGTCGCATACTGGTTAATTGGTGTAGATTGCTGTTCTGAAATGTTGATCAGATAATGAACTTATGATATTGTTATATTAACATAACTTTCTCACTTTTATTGGTATTGGCTAACCAATTCATTTAACTTCAATAAATAGTGACTGCAGTCAGAACAGGGAAGCTAAATAGTATTTTAATAGTTTTGGAATGTAAAAAGGCAGTAAGATAATAAGTATATTGATCTTTTTAACATAATTATAGTGAACTATCCAATAAGAACAAATCCTACGTATAAAAAATAGCTATTTCTAAATTTATTTTTAGATAATACACTGGTAACTCACAGTGCAAGATTTGTTAAAATATATTGTGTTTTGTCCACATTTCCTGCATCTCTGTTAATGTTTTTTATTTAAAATAAGTTATTAAATCTGAATTTTGCTTATAAATAAACAGAATGACATTTAACTTGTTGAATTTCCAATGTTTCTTTGTGTATCCGGTTACATCGCTTCATATAAGAAGAAATATTTCATTTTGGGTTTCCCTGTAAATCTATCAAAGCAATGTATTTGATGTTTTAAATAATGTTGTTTCAACATATTATCAAAGTGCTGGTGTAGGGAGGACCGGCACATACATTGCTTTAGACATACTAACGGAGGAAGGCAAGGATTTAGGCTCCGTTGATGTGTTTAATTGCGTCAACAAAATGCGAGGACAAAGGGTGAACATGGTACAAACAGGTGTAAGTATCATATTAATGTACGTGTGTCTGAAAAGTTGCTTAAAATAATCATAGTAGACAACACATTGAAGCTTATGTTGTAATATGTGTGTCAAATTAAAATGTCAAAATATGAACTACAGTTTTACTTTCAAGTAGGTGCTGGAGTGGATATGTAGAGATGTAATATTTGATTCAATGTGTATTTATGGGACATTGTAAGTTTTATCTTTTATCAGTTGCAGACAGTTTATATTATCGTTTTAATAAAGTTTTATTTTGATACCACGTATATGTTGTATGTATTCAGTTTAGTTGTGCCCATTATGATTCACTCATAGATTTATATACTAATATAAAGTAAAGAAACATATTACTTGAATTACAGGAGCAGTACATGTTTCTCCACAAAGCTCTTGTACATTCACTTACATTTGATTGTGAAACTCTTACTGCAGAGGCAATTCAGGCAATAGTGTATGAAGCAGATGAACAAAAGTTCACAGATATGTACCAGGCAAGAACATTTATTAACATAATTTACATATCATTGCTGTCGGGAAATTAATTTCAACGTAAGAAGTCTATAAATATTAATTTTGTGTTTGGTTTCTGCCACGAGATATCTTAATGTACTTAGTCTTTGACGTACTTATAAGTCAAATGAGTATGCGTTCATATGAAAAAATGTTTGACCGTGCACAGCCTATCAGAAACAAATCTCTAAAGCTTTGAAATATGATAAACAAGATCAACAAGGAAAGGCGGCGTTCAATGGACGCAGCCCCCACACGATCCAGCAATAAGAGCCAGTGACAAGAAGCCCTGGAGGACCCCAACCAAAAACAGGACAGGGCACAAGGAAGACCATGGGCAGGTTAATCACAAAAAACATACATAAGAAGAAAAAATTAGTAACTGATAAGGATCTCAAAGAAAACAAATAATAGGCCCATAAAGTCAAAGGGCACAGGGGAAGGGGACAGGAGACCAGAGAAGGACGGGGGGGGGTAAATAAAGAAAGAAAACTAGGGGCAAAGGGAAAGATACTTACCGTAGACGAGAAAACAACAAGGGACACAAAAGTGTCACCAAAACAGTATGAAACAACAAAGACATACTTCTGAGGAACACAGGAAACCTTAAAAATCCGTCGCTCTGCTTCGTCATTTTTACTACTCTTATAAGCGGTCAATGTTTATGAAATTACTGTAGAATGGTAATAAGTACAGCTTTTATTTGACAATCTTGTAGATTCTACAGCGAGAGGTAGACACAGAATGTCAGGATGATTTAGATGATCGTGAAGAAAATAGAAAACGCCATAACAACAAAAATAGAAGACATTCTGAGATTCCTGGTACATATTTTGTGTCTTTTCCGCCTAATTATGTACAGATTTCAAAGCACAAATTCATTAATTTAACTAATATACTTCTGAGTTGCAGAATCTTTTCTGACATACTCTTCAACAGTTTAAAATTGTAAAAAAAATGCCAAGATACATGGTGTAAACAGAAAACAACTTAGATGGTTTGGTTTGTATTTATTAACTTTTAACATATGTCAGTAAATCGTTTAAGATAATAAATGTGTGACGATGGTGCATGATCTAAAAAAAAACTGGCATTAAAACCAGGAAACAGGAAAAAGAAACAAGTACAACAAAATCGCTAAAATTGGATAAGCTAAAATTAGATTACTGCCAAAACCGCGAAATTTTCTGAACGCAAAAATATCCTGCTTTACGGTATTTGAACAGTTGAAATATATTTTTCAGAAAGAGATCGTCACCCTTTTCTTAGTTTATTGTATTGATGACACCATATCATACACCATAGTATACAAATTTTAGTAAAATACATAGTAAAATGTCTATAAGTTTCGTTGCTTTGACACACCATTTCACATAATGACACAAAAGAAGAATTTTTAAAATACTTTTAAATACTGTTGATCATTATTTTTAAGCCAATCGCAGTAGAGTTAGACTGTTTGTTGCAAGGTCGCACCACTCAAGCCATGACTACATAAATGCCGTGTTTATAAGCGTGAGTAAAATACAAACTGATATAACACTATTTTATACTTTATAAAATGAGTTTATCTAATTTTGTTGTTGTTATAAATAGTGTATATAACAGCAATAAATACATTCGTTTTCTATTAAAATGTGGAAATGTTTTTGAAAATTATCTCAGATGTTATTAAGAGAACCTACTTAGGTCAGAGTTTCAAAACCAAAAATTCATAATTATAGAAATACATGCAGTGTTGGAAAATTTATGATCAAACAAATGACGTTTTAATTTGAAATATGTTTCAGAGTTTCAAGACCAAAAACTTGTTTATTGCTGCACAATCTCCACTAGCAGGAACTATTGAAGATTTTGTCTGTATGATATATCAACAGAACTGCGCATGTGTAATTGCACTGGATCAGCCGTTTAAACAGGGCGATGTATATAAGTTGATTTTAACACTCACTGAATAGTTTTCATTATAGTCAATTATACAAAATCAACTCGTACATACATTAAGTATCATACATTGCATTTATAGAAAAAAATCCACAAAAAGGGAGTAATCGAACTATATAATCATACAGAATGTGCGTAAATCTGTCGTAACTCATTCTTCACCTTAAATCTTTTATGTTGTTTTGAGTTAATGCTTACCATTTAAACATTGTTTCAATGTAAGATGTTTTGACTTGTTTCAGTTTAAGTATTTTATATTTTTAACTAACCTCTGAAATATGTGATGAATTCATAGAATTGTTCATATTCTTTTTCATTTAAGAGTTAATATCTCGTTTGTGTTTTTACTCGTAAATTTTTTGTTGACCAGCTGGTATATTACCATGTATTACATGTCAGAATGATGGCCAATATCTCCCAGCTGACAACAAGACATACATATGTGGAAACTTTACTGTAACAAGCTCGAAATGTGAAACTAAACAGCAGTTTGTTGTCAAAAAACTGACCATTACACATACAAATCAGGTACATATAGATTAAAAAAAATTGTTCTATATGATGTTGTCTATTATTCTGCGAAAGTCTTTAACATCTTTATCATTTTTCTTCTAGTGTACACACGTCATATTTTATACAAAAATATACAAACACCATGAAATATAACAAGGAAGGTGATGTTCATTCATTCTATTTATGCAGGATCTTAATGAAGGGAAATGACGTATAGTGGTTGCACACCTGGTTCAATAAATAAATTCATTTATAAGTAAATTAAATAGTTATCTATAACTTAAGAAATAAGTAGAAAAACTGATCAGAGTAGTCACTTTTCAAATCTCAAAATATGTACATGATCAGGTGAGTTTTCAATAACTTAAAACTTAGAACTCAAATCAGAAACTAGGAAGCTAAAACCTAAAACCAAGTGTGTAATAATCATTGCTTTAATGAATAGAAAAATTAAAAAAAAAAATATAATAATTTTCCTGGACAAAATACGTTTAAAAATTCCATGACTATGACTATGAGCCAATGTGTAAGGTTTGCAAAAATTTCGCTCGCTTGAACCAAGTGTGCTTCCACTTCATGTCCTGTTCCTCGGTGATTTTTGAAAATAATACAATATTTCCTTTCACTGTTTGTAAAAGCAGTATTGATTTAAGACCAAACTACCGGTATCAAAATATATGATACAAGTGAACGTATTAGCGGTTTGCATTTTTAGTAACAATTGAAAGTGATTAAACATATGATTGCATATTTTCATATTGATTGTCATCGATATTTTGAATGGGGTATCTGAACTATTTATTGTTACAGTATATCTTTATCTAGTTTACATATCATTTTGCAGAGTGAAGTGAAAACAGTTTATCATTTCCAATATAAGAAATGGGCGGAATCTAACACTGTTCCTGACACTGTTGAAGACTTTGTTCATTTTATCAAAGATGTTGAAAAACGTGTAAATCATCATACAAATAACAATTCACATGTAGTTGTCCACTGCTTGTAAGTTAAAAACAATTCTATTCCTACTTTCCCTAAATTGTTTTTTCAACATTGCAGGTGAAATTGCTATTTTCAGGAATATGAAATGAAATCTGTTTTGAATTTGAATTTTTTAGAAACTCAATGGTTGTCAGCTTTTAAACTTGCAACTTTATAAAAAATTGTAAAATATAAATGCTGTAAAATGTTCTTAAATTTATTTTTTGTTGTTCAAAAATCAGTGAAACAATATTTTCGATAAAATGCTTTAGCCGTCTGCCTCGTAGGCTCCCAGAACTATCTTACATACTGAGATGTTAAAATGTTAAATGTTCTAGATAAACAAATGAGGTGCACAAGTATTTACAGCGATTTGTTATCTATATCCAATAAATCATCACTGGTAGTGCTATTTCTTTCACAATCATGAGGTCTTAAATTCACAAGTAATTTTGCTAAAGACGATAGCTTACATTTGCATAAGGTTGGCATACACAGACTGTATGACAATTTTGTCTTGCTGAACAACATTAAGTTTTCTAATTATCATAATTCTTTTAAGATAAATAGATACCAGATAAGAATTGTAAATAGTATATTTATAAACAGTAAATTATTTAGCTATATATATAGAACTATAAATAATATTATTTGTTTAAATGATAAAGGACTGGGTATGAGAGATCTGGGTTATTTTGTACCTTGTATTCACTCCTTGAGAAGCTAGAGGCTGAGCGACAAGTGAGTTTGGTCAATATGATTAGAAAAATTAGGACACACCGCCGACAAGCTATAACAGGGGTGGTAAGATTGTTTTGTTTCTTAGAAAAATATTCACTCTAAATGATAATTCTGAAATGAATTCAATAAACAATATATTTATGCTGATTAAATCAATAAATGAGGACTGATGAACTGTCTCAATGGTAAGCATGTATGGGGCGTCTTTCCTTTTACTATTTTCTAGAAAACAGATCTTCGATCGAATAAACAGCTTTAAGATAATCCAAAAACGACGTGCACATTACAGATACGCGGTTAAATGAAAAGTGTATTTTATCCGAAACCTATTTTAAAAACGATGAAAAGCACTTTACTTGCACGGAATTTGCAAATTATATTTGTTGATACTTACTTTCGGGGAAGCAAACCTTTCTTGAGTGCAAAGTTCCATTGTATTATACATGTATGCCACTGAGGTCACATTTCTATTTCAGGAACAACTGAAGTTCTGTTTCCGGTGTGTATCTGCCTATTTAGAGATATATAACACATACTCAAACTTCGCGACATGATTGTTTCAGATATATATCTGCCCATTTAGAGACATATAACATGTACTTAAACTACGCAACATGATTGTTTCTGGTTAAGAGATATATAACATTCACTCAAATTTCGCTACATAAATTTGTCCGGTGTATATCTGCCCAGTTAGAGATATATATCACATTTTATCAAACAACGCTACATAACTGTTTCCGAAGTATTTGTATACAGAGATGTATTGCACATACAAACTACGCTACATGACTGGCTTCGGTGTAAATAATTTATGTATATAGAAATACAAACACACGTCACACGACAGCTTCTAGTGTATACCATGTGTTGTTTTTTATAGAAATGTATGCAAAACCAATACTTAAAGTACACTACATGACTGTTTCTTCCGTATATTTGCTTATAAATAGAGATGTATTTCACAATGTATGCAACAAACAAATTCTAAGAACGTGTGTAATAGACATATAATGCAAGTGAATTCATTTTGAATCGCAAAAATAAAAATGACCCAACGGAATGAAAATATATAATTGTAAACGGAACTACTTTACTAACAATACCATATTATAATAGAATATACAGTTAAGTATTAAAATTACTATTCAAAGAGTTATTGTTAAAATACATGGATCTAATTTTTGCATGGCTATCATGGATTTTATTACAACGGATAACTTACAAAATGGATCACTACTGTATATATTTTAGCTTGTGATGTCTCAAGTTAAACATCATCAAGATACTTTTATAATTATCTGATTGTAATTCATTTTGATATTGTTTATATGCTGGTTGCAGTTTATCATGATGTTATATTCCTTCTAACACTCGTATTTTAGTTGTTATATTTTTATTCAATGTGATTTGTTCATAAACATCATCACTTTAATATATGTAGTTTCTTTTATACATTCTATTTATGCAAGTTTTCTTCATATCTTAAGTTATTCATTTGTGTTTTGCATGGTATTGGTAAAAAGCCCAAATTTTATCAAACAGGAATAAGAATGCATATTTTTGTTTGATTTTATCCTTAACTGTAAACGTTTTGTAATAAAATAAAGTTCCTTTATGAAAATACTAGAAGAAAGACTAGGAGCTGAAGCAAATTCCCATCCTTGCGTCCTCTCCTAACTTAGTTCAATGTTTGTGGTTCTGTATTGTGGGGGTTTATAAGCGGCTGCGTTCATTTAATTCCGCTCTTCCTTTCTTCTACCTAGTGTTTGCTGTGCTCATTATTATGTATTTTCACAGCATGGGTTCCAGTCAGTCAATTTTCGTCATAAATTAAAAAACTCTGACAGGCTCACGAACGAGCACGTATGTCATGCATAAGCAAAACATATCGACGCCTGAATCACAGGCTAGAATTTTCAATGTGTTTACGATTTTTTTCAAGCTTTATTTTTCCTTTAAATATGCAAATGGTTATCATATACCAATCGAAAATGCATTTTTTAATTGCCAGAAGGAGTATGAATGACCAATATTAGTTAAACACATATACCTCTTCATTAAAATAAATATAAAAAAGGCTCGGCTATTGTAAGTTTACAAGAATATAAATTTGCAAAAAGACAAGGAACTTTCTATAAAGGAGCGTTATGTCTTACGTTGGCTATTAACGCATATGTTTGCATGTTTTTGTCGTTCACGTGTAAAAGTGTAAAAAAAAAATATATTATATTGTAGAAAATCAAATTTATACGTTGTGTATGATATTGATAAAGTACATTATTCATTTTTGCCTTATTATTGTAAACTTATACAAGAAAAGTAGTCTTTAGGATAATCTTTACTCTATAGTTTTGATAACTGTTGTGTTAAATGTGCTTTGAGTTTAATTAAAAAAATACGTTATTGGAATTCCATTTGCAGTATTTTTCTTTGTTGAAATCAGATCATTTTGAGAGCTTTTTTGTAAATTAACATAATGACGATAGACATTAATAATATTCCGGATATTCGGAAAGGTACATAATAAACAGTTACACAACAGTGTATTGTTTCAAGAAAGCCGTCTAGTAAATACAAAAAAGTTGTAATTATCATTGCATGCTCCTCAATTTTAAGTAAATATCATTGTAAAATTACTCTTTCTATTCAGGTTTTTACATCAAAGAAAGTGTGACATCTTTACGCGGCAGTAGGATTGCAAGGAAGCTCTATCGATATTGTACTGTTATTGCATATTGCTGTCATTTTATGTCATTAACAACTGGGTAATCCAATCATGAATTTAAATCAACGTATTTTTATTCTTCTCTGGTCTTTATTGTAAGGAATCATACCTCACGTATAGTAATACTGTGCAGTTAAAGCTTGAAGAATGCTTTCGAAAATTGAAAGTAAGAACAATCAGAAGAAAATGCACATAAAATGAAAAGAAGAAAGAAATTATGAAAAGAAAAAAAACAGAGAGTGACAGCACAATCAAGAAGAAGAAACGGAACAAGAAGGCAAGAAAAGGAAAAGAAGAACAAAAAAGATAAAAAGGAAGAAAAAAAGAAAGAAATGGAGGGTTTATTTAAAAAAACCAAAGCGTATGAGAAACTGAACAAATAAAAAAACGTAGGGAAATCATATCTCTCTCAGATTCTTGTGCATACCGACACAGATGATGCTAAAGACGATAGCTTACATTTGCATAAGGTTGGCATAAACAGACTGTATGACAATTTTGTCTTGCTGAACAACATTAAGTTTTCTAATTATCATAATTCTTTTAAGATAAATAGATACCAGATAAGAATTGTAAATAGTATATTTATAAACAGTAAATTATTAAGCTATATATATAGTACTATAAACAATATTATTTGTTTACATGATAAAGGACTGGGTATGAGAGATCTGGGTTATTTTGTACCTTGTATTCACTCCTTGAGAAGCTAGAGGCTGAGCGACAAGTGAGTTTGGTCAATATGATTAGAAAAATTAGGACACACCGCCGACAAGCTATAACAGGGGTGGTAAGATTGTTTTGTTTCTTAGAAAAATATTCACTCTAAATGATAATTCTGAAATGAATTCAATAAACAATATATTTATGCTGATAAAATCAATAAATGAGGACTGATGAACTGTCTCAATGGTAAGCATGTATGGGGCGTCTTTCCTTTTACTATTTTCTAGAAAACAGATCTTCGATCGAATAAACAGCTTTAAGATAATCCAAAAACGACGTGCACATTACAGATACGCGGTTAAATGAAAAGTGTATTTTATCCGAAACCTATTTTAAAAACGATGAAAAGCACTTTACTTGCACGGAATTTGCAAATTATATTTGTTGATACTTACTTTCGGGGAAGCAAACCTTTCTTGAGTGCAAAGTTCCATTGTATTATACTGATGTCATATTTCTATTTCAGGAGCAACTGAAGTTCTGTTTCCGGTGTGTATCTGCCTATTTAGAGATATATAATACATACTCAAACTTCGCTACATGATTGTTTCTGGTGAATATCTGCCTTTTTAGAGATATGTAACATTTACTGAAATTTCGCTACATAAATGTTTCCGGTGTATATCTGCCTAGTTAGAGATATATATAACATTTACTCAAACAACGCTACATAACTGTTTTAGGTAAATATGTATACAGAGATGTATTGCCCATACCAAACTACGCTACATGACTGTTTTCGGTGTAAATATATATATAGAAATACAAACACACGCCACACGACAGTTCCCAGTGTATACCATGTGTTTTTATATAGAAATGTATGCAAAACCAATACTTAAAGTACACTACATGACTGTTTCTTCCGTATATTTGCTTATAAATAGAGATGTATTTCACAATGTATGCAACAAACAAATTCTAAGAACGTGTGTAATAGACATATAATGCAAGTGAATTCATTTTGAATCGCAAAAATAAAAATGACCCAACGGAATGAAAATATATAATTGTAAACGGAACTACTTTACTAACAATACCATATTATAATAGAATATACAGTTAAGTATTAAAATTACTATTCAAAGAGTTATTGTTAAAATACATGGATCTAATTTTTGCATGGCTATCATGGATTTTATTACAACGGATAACTTACAAAATGGATCACTACTGTATATATTTTAGCTTGTGATGTCTCAAGTTAAACATCATCAAGATACTTTTATAATTATCTGATTGTAATTCATTTTGATATTGTTTATATGCTGGTTGCAGTTTATCATGATGTTATATTCCTTCTAACACTCGTATTTTAGTTGTTATATTTTTATTCAATGTGATTTGTTCATAAACATCATCACTTTAATATATGTAGTTTCTTTTATACATTCTATTTATGCAAGTTTTTCTTCATATCTTAAGTTATTCATTTGTGTTTTGCATGGTATTGGTAAAAAGCCCAAATTTTATCAAACAGGAATAAGAATGCATATTTTTGTTTGATTTTAGCCTTAACTGTAAACGTTTTGTAATAAAATAAAGTTCCTTTATGAAAATACTAGAAGAAAGACTAGGAGCTGAAGCAAATTCCCATCCTTGCGTCCTCTCCTAACTTAGTTCAATGTTTGTGGTTCTGTATTGTGGGGGTTTATAAGCGGCTGCGTTCATTTAATTCCGCTCTTCCTTTCTTCTACCTAGTGTTTGCTGTGCTCATTATTATGTATTTTCATAGCATGGGTTCCAGTCAGTCAATTTTCGTCATAAATTAAAAAACTCTGACAGGCTCACGAACGAGCACGTATGTCATGCATAAGCAAAACATATCGACGCCTGAATCACAGGCTAGAATTTTCAATGTGTTTACGATTTTTTTCAAGCTTTATTTTTCCTTTAAATATGCAAATGGTTATCATATACCAATCGAAAATGCATTTTTTAATTGCCAGAAGGAGTATGAATGACCAATATTAGTTAAACACATATACATCTTCATTAAAATAAATATAAAAAAGGCTCGGCTATTGTAAGTTTACAAGAATATAAATTTGCAAAAAGACAAGGAACTTTCTATAAAGGAGCGTTATGTCTTACGTTGGCTATTAACGCATATGTTTGCATGTTTTTGTCGTTCACGTGTAAAAGTGTAAAAAAAAATATATTATATTGTAGAAAATCAAATTTATACGTTGTGTATGATATTGATAAAGTACATTATTCATTTTTGCCTTATTATTGTAAACTTATACAAGAAAAGTAGTCTTTAGGATAATCTTTACTCTATAGTTTTGATAACTGTTGTGTTAAATGTGCTTTGAGTTTAATTAAAAAATACGTTATTGGAATTCCATTTGCAGTATTTTTCTTTGTTGAAATCAGATCATTTTGAGAGCTTTTTTGTAAATTAACATAATGACGATAGACATTAATAATATTCCGGATATTCGGAAAGGTACATAATAAACAGTTACACAACAGTGTATTGTTTCAAGAAAGCCGTCTAGTAAATACAAAAAAGTTGTAATTATCATTGCATGCTCCTCAATTTTAAGTAAATATCATTGTAAAATTACTCTTTCTATTCAGGTTTTTACATCAAAGAAAGTGTGACATCTTTACGCGGCAGTAGGATTGCAAGGGAAGCTCTATCGATATTGTACTGTTATTGCATATTGCTGTCATTTTATGTCATTAACAACTGGGTAATCCAATCATGAATTTAAATCAACGTATTTTTATTCTTCTCTGGTCTTTATTGTAAGGAATCATACCTCACGTATAGTAATACTGTGCAGTTAAAGCTTGAAGAATGCTTTCGAAAATTGAAAGTAAGAACAATCAGAAGAAAATGCACATAAAATGAAAAGAAGAAAGAAATTATGAAAAGAAAAAAAACAGAGAGTGACAGCACAATCAAGAAGAAGAAACGGAACAAGAAGGCAAGAAAAGGAAAAGAAGAACAAAAAAGATAAAAAGGAAGAAAAAAAGAAAGAAATGGAGGGTTTATTTAAAAAAACCAAAGCGTATGAGAAACTGAACAAATAAAAAAACGTAGGGAAATCATATCTCTCTCAGATTCTTGTGCATACCGACACAGATGATGGATATGACGAAAATTATCTTTGTCCAATATCTCAGACTGATGAGGGCTATTTAGACACATGGGATACTTGCACAGCCTGTCTTGTATAGGAATCCTGTAGTGCTTGGAATCCGAAGGAAATTTCTTCGCTATTCTTCTTTCGCTTGTGTTTACTTTCTTTCACTTGAAACGCTCTAAAGATAGACAGTGCCTTAGGCATAATGTGTCTTATTCCAATTTTCCTTGATAAGATGATAAAACGAATTGAAAATCCTTAGCAAAGTGTTGATAATCTAAACTTTTTAAAAATCTTATGCTTTTAGTCAGACAGGTCGTTTTTTTACGGAAAGCGTGCTATGTAGTAATTGACGTCTTTACAAAGTGTCACATTTCATTAAAATAATTATCGATTTACAGGTGTATTATGTTAAATTGTTCAATCTGAAAATGGAATCGTCGAAATTTCGTATTGAAACAGTTCATTTAGGGATTTGAAGACGAAAATATTAAATATTTGTTTGTGGGTTTTTTTCTATAAGCGTACTATAAAACTTTGTCAGGATGGCGGTGAATCCACTCTTCGTGTGACAATAAAGAGTTAATAAGGGTCAAGTAAAAATGCAGCCAGTAAGGTTCATCGCAAATGAACAGGGAGCTATAAACATATACAAGGTGATGTAGTATGGCTTTACTATTTCACGTTTAAATGTTGAATTCTGCTTAAGCCGGTGCTAGGGGGCGTGGACGGTAACTTGCACTTTCCAGTACCGTCCATGAACAGGCTCAATCAAACCGAGCCTGCAACATTTTCAATTTTGCCGTGTTGGGCTTTCTTTAGGGATTCTATATTTATCTATATTAAATTCAATTGTCTCATATTCAAACATCAATACACACTTTGTTTGTATTTGATAGGAGTTTTTAGTTTACCTGTTAAAAAATCTTGAAATGCAATCTCAAACAGTTTCCATTGAGATATTAAACGCTCTTTCAAACGATCATTTTTGCCGAAATGCTTTTTAAAAACATAACGTTTAACCAGTAATCCGGATATTTTGAGCAAAACAGTAATATCCGCCTAAGACACATTTTCAATATTTCAAACTGTAAGCATTTTACTTGCAGACTGAAGGGTGTAAAGTGTAACGCAAATTAAGTATAAAGGCTTGTTTCTTATGCATCATTTTTATTGATTTTTAAAATTTTAAATGTTTCTATATAAGTTCAGCGTTGCGCATGTCATTGCGATTATTTTGCAGCTTATTCCCAGGGATCAATTTCTGTAAGTTCCTCTTCCGATATGTAATGTATATTTTATCGCAGTGCGATGACGCCTTGTCCGATTTCGTGCATGTTTACACGCCTGAATAGCTCGATTCAATACTTTTCCACTGGTAAAATTTTCAACTTAACACAGTTTTAAAATTAATTGGATATTCAATTAAGCCAGTCATTGATAACTGTTGAAATTTTGTTAGCAAATATGGGTGTATATTGAGCTAAAAATTAGAATTTACAGCAATTTTCATGTTATTTAGTTATGAGAAGGACCAACCTTTGCCAGATTTTAATATGCAATTGCGTACAAAACTCGGGCATTGGTTGAACTGTACCTTTACAGTATTTGGGAAGTTTAATTTGTCTTCTAGGGTATCTTATGAGACAGTTAATAAGTTCATTTTTTTGAAGTAGTCAGAACAATTTGAAACAAAATATTGCCTTAAACATGTTTTGTTTGTTTTGGGTTTTACGTCACATCGACACAGTATAGATCATATCGAGACGTTCCTGCTTTACTGGTGGGGAAGACCTCAGGTGCCCTTCCGTGCATTATTTCAGGCACGGACGGGCATCTGAGCAGAACCACCGACGTTCTGTAAGCTGGCTGGATAGCTTCGTCACATGAAAGAATCCAAAGTTTCTGTCGGGATTCGAACCCACAGCGTTGAGGGGAAAGTGGTTTGAAGTCAACGACCTTAACCACTCGGCCAATGACACCCCTTAAACTCGGTAGAAGGCATGTAGTTGTCATAAGCATAAAGCATGTACTTTTCTGCAAAATTTCCATCTGTGCTGATATAGCTGTTCAAATTTCGGCGAATAAGAGCAAAATTGTTACAGGTGAATTGCTGAGGAGATGCTTTACTAAAAATGCTCAAGACATATTATCAGAAACGACACCCTATGTTAGAATAAATGAATGCTTGTCTCCTTGACGATAATGCTCTATCACATACATATGAGCTTGTGAAGCACTTTTGGAAGTGGGATGTTACCGTCATGCCACACGCTAAATTCTATTCAGATACAAGTTCTGATAGATCTTATTCCTCAGCCATGAATCGGTGCCACAGAGGGCTACCTTTATCAATGTATCGTGACGCCTTTCGTATATGGATACAGAGATTGAAAATATGTATTTCAAACCATTAAGGGTATTTTAAGGGATGTTATCTTCATTTGACTATTAGAGTAAATGCTTTGATATCGTTCCGATAACACTGAAGAGTTAAGACTCTTTCGAGCTTTGAATTTCTTTGGTAGAAGAAGACATTGCGAGTCTTCAATTCTCTTGTGATTTTGTTGTGATTAATGCTTCCGAGGGATCACTTTGTTTCCACATTTTTATACTTCACAACAGCAGGTGTCAAGTGCTGTGTGGCAGCTGTAAAAAGTTGCCCCGTACTTCACTTCAGTGTTGTTATATTTTTCTGGTCCTTCGGGATCATTGATGCCAGCACTATTATGTGTTGTGGATTGAGTACCGCTCATGCCGGTAATAGGGGGCGTGAGGGATGTTGCACTTATTCATTATCCCTCATGTACTGACTCAATCAAACCGAGTCAGCAATTCTCTTGTAATTTTGTTCTGATGAATGCTTCCGAGGGATCACTTTGTTTCCAGATTGTTACTCTTATTTCCTAGACAATTTGACAGTTTCGAAGTATGGCATTTGTTTTTGTTCTTTGATTGTTCAATTTTTTGTAGTTCCAGGCCGACAAGGGTTCTTTTTTAGTTTCGACTAACATTCAAATGTATGAAATCTAAAACGAAGCTTCCTATCGAGAGACTTGCTGTTTAATATGCCGCCCTTGTCAAAATTTAGGTTTTCTTTTTATTTTCAGTGACAAGACAGCACTGAAACTAAATGAAAACGAAAAACAATCTTGTGAAGGAATTATTACTTCATCTAATGTACAACTGCAAATATATGAAAAATAGAAAAGGTTCGGGCTAAGATGGTTTTAGCTTAGAGCTTTAAAATTTTTTGGAATTATTAAAAATATGATTTGATAAGTGCTCTTA